TCCATTAAAATTAATTCTGTCTTTTGGGGGCTTCACAAAAAAAACACCATTGGCTGACATTTGGCAGCAGACAGATGATTTTTGTCTTAGTTTCTGCTGTTGAATCTGGTTTTTTCCTTTATCTGTCAGCTATGTCTGAAGTCCTGGTATGGAGTTTTTTCTGAGAGAAATTTTAGACTTGATAGCAGTTTCTGATTCGTAATTCAGTTCAGTCGCAGGACAACAGTAGCCTGTGGCAACATTATATTTCTGGGGTGGTTATCCCCTCCAAGTTCCTAGGTGGTACCTGCTCTTCAAAGCAGAGGGACATATAAAATAACTAACAAAGGAAATGAAAAGAAGGTATGTGTCTTTTCTTGTAGCATCTTTATGTATCCATGGTTTGTGGGGGCTTCCTTGACACTGCACATTTATCACAAATCAGGCAATTAAAAAACATGTGCTTGTTGGTTGCTTTACCCTTCCATTTTAATGGGGTCATGAATTGTCCAGGAGAAGATGATGTGCCAGTCTTCTGACTTCTGGTCATTGGGCATTTTTGCTCCATACAGTCAACAGAAGAGAGAAGCTTTTTGGTTGATGAAGCTTTCCCTCAGAGATTTGGCTAATGTTTTGTTCTGAAAATTTAAGCTGTTTTACAGAAAAAAAAAGATGACTGACCCATTACTGGAAAGATGAAAGAGCTGTTTGGCATTAAATGTTTTTATTTCCTCAGCTTATTCAACTAACTACTGTTATTGTCATAGTTAACCACTGTGGTAGGTCAGGAAAATATTAGAGTAACTTAGTAAAACCCAGCTTAATTTAAATGCACACACATAGCTAAAGAACGCAAGTGCTTCATAGTAGTGAAATGTCAACCCATTGATGGAAAGGAGGTCTCGTGCAAATCTGACCACCATTAATGTAGTCCTGCAGTGCCAAAGAACAGAGAAAGTGTGAACCTTTTTCTTAATAATAGTGCTGAGTTACTAGAACTTTTTCGGCAAGTGTGTTGCTCTCTTGAAGAAGGTTGTGTAGGATCAGATATCTCCAAGTACCTTTGGCTATCCCATCATTTTCCTATTGCTGCAAAAATAAATTCAACAAATCCTTTTCCTGAAGCCTTAAATCAGTTCCTTCCTCATCCTCATACTATTAGGATGTGAAAGTCATGTGGCTTCATTGGGTATTCTTGTGTGACTAGTGTAGATTTTACAAATGCACAGCAATCCATGCTTTCCTTATGTTGTATGTTTAGGCAGAATGAACATCATATCTGCTTGAAATGTATAATTCTGCTGTGTTTTGATTAAAGGAAGAAGTAAAACTATATAATTCTTCTTCATAATTATCCTCTTTCCCGTTCTGAAGGCATATTGTTCTAAAACAATTCTCTTGAAATAAAATACTACATTAATAGTACATTTAAATAGCACATTATAACAAAAACAAAAAAATCCCCTTCCTTGAAACAGAGAAGAAACACAATTGGGAAAAAAAAAGAAAGAAATACTAGTAGGAAGATAAAAAGGCAGTGTCTTTGCTTTTATTGGGGAAGCTTCCTGAGTCTTACAACAAAATACATTCTTATTTTTCCTTCAAACTTTTTTAAGGTAAGGGTTTAATTTGTACATTTGGGAACTGGACCTAAATTAGCTGGATGTGGAAAGCTATGCTAAATCTGTGAAACCTGTTACTTGAAGGAAAATTCCCTTCAGGAAATCACAGAGGCATTTCTCTAAATTGAAGTGATAGTTTAGATTCTGGGATGTGTGAAGACGTGTGAGTGGGTGTTCGTGTATGGGCATCAGGTTGGCATGGTATGATACAACATTTAATATGCCTGTGGGTTGTGATGTAGACACATCAGGTTTTGTAGTGTGTCAGTAACCTCATAAGAAATAATTATAAAAGAGTTGTTACCGTTTGGAGGTACCAATTACTTTCTCTTACAGGGCTGAATCTTAGTCTCAAATGTAGTAATAACTTAGCAGTAATTGCTGTTAATTGACCACGAATATGATTACACTTTCTCTGTTGGAAATGTTGACAAAGTTGTGGGAGTTTTATGTAACTGCACTTAGTGGTACTTACAACCTTTGTGTAGTGTTTTGAGATCTTTAGGTTAAAATACAGTGCTATATAATAAAAAACTAATTCAGTACTTGCAGTTTGGATATATGAATTCAGGAAGAGTTTTGTCATTTTAAATTTTGAGTTGTCAATTCTTCTATCAGAGTTTTCTTGTAAATTGCTCTACCTAGAATTACTATGAACAAAATTAGAATATATATCCAAAACCTAACCTTCTTCATAAAGGAAGAAATGACAAAGACTTTAAAAGTAGAAGTTACCAAAGATCACTGTGATTCAGTTTATTTCATCTGCCTCTTTGTCCTTTTGAAAGAGAAGGAATAGTTAATAGATGCTTCATTTCTCTTTTCCCCCATGTTTTTCCTACTTTCTCCTTTGTTTGGAAAATTTGGCTTTTTCTATAGAGTTTGATTGCCAGAAGTGTTTGCTGAAGTTGTTTCAGGTGATGGAAGCATTACAGTAGGTATGGGGTTTTGAGAGGAAAGGGGTGAATAGTGGTAAAAGCTCTTGCCTCATGCTCTGCTTTGCCACAGGAGAACAAATATGTGTTAGCTTTGGGCTCTTTAGATCTGTTTATTTCTAAACAGTATCTAGACTGTGCTATTGTAATCACACCATCCCATAGCTTTCCTTTCCGTAAATAACCAACACGTATGTTCCATCTCATAGTAGGGCATCTCTTGTTTGATGAAGGGAAACCATATTTTTACATGCTTAATTTTCTAACTTAGCCAGCTTTCTAACCTAACAGTTATTCACTGTGAGTGACTTAGGTATCAGAGAGGAGGATACTCTTCAACCTGCCATCAGAAAAAAATTTTAATTGTTATTAAAACCCTTTGTAAAAAGTGGATTGGAAACTTTGGGATAGCATGGTGGGATAAGTGGAACTAAGTACATTTATGGAGATCTAAATTGTGTATTTAAATTGTACACCCAACCTCCCATGCCTTCCTTTGGGTGAGATGATTGGCTGCAGTCATCTGTCAGTCTCCATCTACATCAGTAATTACTTGAATTTTCCTCAAAAGTAACAACAGTATTTTTCCACTTGGGCTGTGATTCAGGCAAAAGGCAAATAATGTTCCAGGTTCTTTAGGCAACACTAAGTAAGTTCCTGGGAATGGACAGTGTTTCTAATAAGCGCAATTAGAGCATTCCTGAGACAGAGGTGTGGATTTGAGGGTTGGGGGGGTGGTTAATGCACCACCACAGTGTTACATCTGCTTCAAATATCTGCACTCTCTAAAACAGCATAGCTTGCTGTGCAGCCCTGTAAGGCAAAGTATTTGTATGGACCACACTTAGAGATTACAAGTTACCAAGGTCAAATCTGTGAATTTTTGAATCTCGTGTTTTTGAAATGGCATAAATAATCATTTCTGCTTTCAAGCTACATTATCAAGATTCCCCACCCTCACCCTCTACAAAAGAGACAAATATATGGTCATGATGGTGTCTTTGGGATGACTTCCATTCAGTTCCTGGACTACTTGGACCTGGTCACATGCCATTGCTCTCAATTTTGCAGTATAGTGTAAACTATACTATCCAAGCTTAATCCTGCTTGATCCTTTCCTTACTGACAGCCAAGCACAACAGCCACAGGCTTTTTCTGGCTGGGTTGGGAAATTTTTCTACAAAGCAGAAGATATTTCCTCTCATATCAGAGAGTTCTTTAAATGAGCACCTTAAATTCAGCTAGTCAAGAGATCGTTGCTGTGATGCAACCTTGCCTGCTGGGTCTCAAGCATATTGTTTTCTCCTGTGGATTTAGGATCCCAGAAGAGTTTCTTTTGAAATAGACTGCATTTCTGCCTGATCTCCCTCATTCTGGTAGGTTGGAGTGCTATTTTGGGAAAATTACAGAGGTTGTATCAAAAGGAATATAAAAATATGCACCTTTTTTGATGCTTGATACATTGATTGTATCCACTGTTGTAAGTCTCCAAATGGTTGATTCATATAAAGAGGGCAATACAAGATCAGATCCTTTGGCTGGCCCAGTTAGACCCTAAGAAACATTAGACCTTCCAAAAATTATGAAGGTAATAAGAAAAAGACTGAGATGATTAGGCCTAGAGATAAAAAAAATACACTTTCCTAAGTGTACAAAGGATGATGGGCAAAAGAGTATTTTCAGAAAGACCAGCATAAAACTGTAACACTGTTGAAGCTCAGAATGAGTTTTTAACACTGTTTTAACAGCAGTTTTCTGAAGGGAATGAGGAAGGAGACATGATAGCTATTTTGGTGTCTCCTCAGGCTCAGATTTCATGGTTTCAGAATCAAATACCATTCCCAAAAATTCCAGTGGAATGATTTTTTTAATACTTGCAGAAATGAATGAAAAAGATCCTAGATGAAGGAGATATGGTTTGCTAAAAAGAACTGACTAAGTGTTTGTAAGATTTCTGGCAAATAATGTGGAAATTGTTACAAGTGGTCTTATATTCCCAGAAGGCCATGGAAAATGTTGACTTCTGCTGTCAAAAGTGTATTGGACTGAAAAGTCACCTACACCATCTGAATTTTGCTTGTGGAATGTTAGAGCTGAACTAGCAGTCATTAGAGCTTAATGACCACTTTGAATTTGGTGGTACTTACGGAATCCTTCAGTTTTGTCTGTCATTTTGATTTTTTTCTTTGTTTCAATGTTTTGGTAACAATTTTTGGTGTCCCAAAAGAAAGAAGTTTAAGAAGATACAATTTGCTTAGGAGCAACTTCAACTCTCTATGATGGTTATCTCCTTTTTTCATCTTCACAACCGTCTTCATGGTACTTCGTTTTTCAAATTGCATGTACATATTGGTGATATGACTAATGTGAAGAATTATTCCTGTTAATCTTGTTCACTGTATATGAGCTTTCTGCAAACATAGAAAATGAAGTAAATTTTACATTCTTGTTTGTTTTGAATTAGGTTCATGCACTATTAGTTCGAGAAGTCGATGTAGAGAAGGTGTCAAGTTTTGAGAACCCATATGTAGATGCAATAAGAAGTTTATGGAATGACCCTGGAATTCAGGAGTGTTATGATAGACGACGGGAATATCAGTTATCAGATTCAACTAAATAGTAAGTACATGGTGGCTACAAATAACTATTTATAATTTTATGTTTCTAACAAAATAATTTTTACTTTTTAGCTTCTTATACTGTATGCCTGTGTACATATTTGTATGCGTATGCAGCACAAACATACCTGAATATACACTTACTAGACTGAATTAAGGAGTGGAGTATATCTAGTTTAGGATTATATCTGCACTTGTTTCACAGAATGACAGTCTGTGATAATTCAAAGTCTTAAACTAAGATTCTAACTAGGGGGGTTTGTTAAACCTCTTCAAGCCCTTACTCTCCTCTGACATACAATGACAAATGCAAGGTGGACACAAATACTTTCATGTAGTATGATGGTAGTGAATACTGTGAAGTGCAGTCAAAGGCATGCTCCATAAAATTAATAAAATCGTAAGGCCCCAGAACTCCTATTTTCCCAGGTTTCCCCTTTCCCTCCCAGATTGCATTTGCAGTCCTGATGGTAAGGTAAACAGTACTAAGCAAGGGAGCTTGTATTACATTGAACTGCCTTTCTGTTGTGGAAAGTCTAAAATTTAAAGAACATGGCTGCAAGAAAGCACTTGAGGTTAAGCTGTGTTTGTTCTAGATCAACAATAATAAAAATGCATATGTGACTAAATAATGTCTGAAATATTATGCCTTTAGTTTCTTGGGCCAGGAATCTGATTAAACAACATTGTGAAATTCGTCATTGTAACTTGAGGTCGGCCTGAAGAGTCACTCCATGAACTTTAGTTACTCTTGAGTAATGTAGCATATAGCTCTGATAAAATTTCTCATCTGCTGTCAAATGGATAATAGGTGATGGCCTTTTGACGTTGATCAATGTTACAAAACACAGCATAGTTTGTTATTAAAGCTGTGGAAAAAAAATCTATGAATGTCTATGATTCTGCATGAGTTCTTGTATTAGCTATGAAAAAAATTGTTCTGATGATATAAGTCCAGTCGCCATTTGGCATGTGTACAGGAATGGAAGCCTCTTATTGAGGAAAGTGCAGAGGAATACAAAGGCACCAGGAGTCTCCCATTAAGCTCATTGAAGCAGGGCTACCGACGTGACAAGACTGGGATGACATTTGTCTGCACAGTAGTTTGATGATCCTGATCTAGCACAGCACTTTTTAAGTGAGTTAGTCAAGATAAACTTACTAGGATCCTGCTGATAGAGTTTAGGCAGCTGAAAACCTATGGATGCATGATGTAGGTCTTCTTAGATTTGCTGCAATGTTATCACCACACCATATTTTTCTTCTTGCCCAGTGCATAGGGTTTCTGTTGTCCTGTGCAGTTTTCTGTCATGGTTACCTTCCCAACCCAAGATTTGTGTATGTGTATTGTGGTGTAGAGGGGTGCAAAGCACTCTTGTGTGGCATCTCCCTTGTATTATTTGGATTCTCACTGTCCCTAAAGATACCTGTAATGGTTTTAAGTATGAGGCCTTCCTTCCTGGTCGCCAGGAAGGAAGGAAGGAAGTATTCCATCCTATTCCTTTACATAATGTAAACATCTAGATAGACGTAGAGAGAAGCCTCTTCCTCTCTTCCCTTCCAGCAAGGTTTGGAGACAGCAGACCCCCACAGCCGGTCCTGCTTCTGTGGGGGATCTGGGGCCTGGCTCAGCCTACAGGGCCTGTTGTTTTCTGCTGATCCGGAGTCCGGTAGTGTGGTGGTGGCATTTAGCGCAATTGTGCTATCTCAAGGAAAGTATTAAGGGTTTTTTTGGCTAGTTCTTTATTGAGTGTGTATACCTGTTTTTGGTCTGTTTTTTTTGTTTTATCCCTTTTCCCTTCCCTATTCTGCTTTCGGGTGTTGGGGTTTGGGGTTTTTTTTATGTGTATGTAGTTTTTCTAATTGTATATTAATGTAACATAAGTGTAAATATATTTATATATATTGCTCTAGCTCTCTCACTCTCTCTCTTATTTCAGTTCTCTTGTTTTTTTTTTCTTTTCCCTTGGTTTTGGGGGAGGGGGAGCTCTTACAGTGGGGTTAGGAGACTTGGCAGAGAGCCAGCTCAAAACCACCACAATACTGAGTTTTGGTTTTACGTGGTAAGAAAACAAGTAGAATGTTACATAAAGCGAAGAACTTCAGGATGCATAACTGGGAGGAAAAAAATTTAGGGAAAAGTTGCTGATAATATATTTTCACATTATTTCTGTACTGAAACAAGCAGCAAGTTAAGTAGAAGCGGAAGCAGAGCTTGTCTTATATTTTGAACTTCTTGTGTTTGTAGGTTCTAATTTGGTTTCCACAAATGGTGATACTTGTTTTAAAGTTGAAGTAAATGTATGTATGTTGTGTGCTTACCTTAGAGGTTAAAAATAGAATTACTTACTCTCCAAAGTAGGAAATAATGATCTGATGCTAACTCAGATCAGATTGTGCTGAATAACATAGTTTTGACCTACTTCAAATTAAATTGTTACCATAGTGGATCTTTTAAGTAGCATTAAAAATAGTAGGGAATAATTATTAAGTAGCTATAAAAGCAAATTCCTAGTACATTGTTTTGCAAAAGATACATGTACTAGTTGGTTGGTTATTTTTCAAGCTCAGTATGTTTAGCAACTTACCATGAGTTTTTGCAGGTTTGGTGAATTTATTATAGTTCATACTATGGATTTCTGCAAAATCTTTTAGTATTGTGAATCAATGTATATGAGTGTTTAGAAAAGCCTCTTGTGTATTTATGCTTGCAAGTGGAGTTTTTTCAGGTATGTAAGTCCATTAAAAACAACTAGCAGAAACAAACATCGTTTCAAAAATACAGTGTGTATGTTTACCAGCAGAACACCCAAACAAATTTGCTAGGATTAAATCCCTGTCACAAAGCAAAGAAACAAATTGCTTAGAAGTTACTACTGGGATTCACAAAAGCAGTAAGACAGAAATAAGCCCATTTCCTTCTGATTTGATGTATAAACCAAAACAGTTTGTTGTCCACCAGATCTCTTGTAAGCATGTGTCTGTATGTTTAGTAAGCACATGTGTCAGTGTCAGACGTGTTCTTCCTTCATCCCATGCACAAGCCTCTCATCTTCTCAGTAGTTTTCCCCTGTGTTTTTATAGTAGTAGTAATAGTAGTAGTAGTATTTTTGATCTGCTGGCTATATTGCTTTTTTCTCCTGTCAGTGTTCAACACGGTCAAATACTGGTTCTTGCTCTTGAGTTACAACAACCCCAGGCAGCACTACAGGCTTGGAGGGAAAGTGGCTGGAAAGCTGACTGGTGGAAAAGGATCTGGGCGTGCTGGTAGAGAGCAGCTGAACATGAGCCAGCAGTGTGCCCAGGTGGCCAAGAAGGCCAATGACATTGTTATCAGCAATTGTGTAGCCAGCAGGACTAGGGAAGGGATTGTCCATCTGTACTCAGCACTGGTGAGTACACCTCAAATCCTGTGCTCAGTTTTGGGTCCTCCAATACAGGACAGACAGTGAGGTGCTGGAGTATGTCCAGAGAAGGACAGTGAAACTGGTGAAGGAATTAGAGAATAAGTCCTATGAGAAATGGCTGAGGGAGCTGGAATTGTATACCCTGGAGTAAAGGAGGCTCAGGGAAAACCTTATTGTTCTCTCAAGCTACCTGAAAGGAAGTTGCTGCAAGATGGTAGTCAGCCTGTTCTCACAGACAACGAGCAACAGAACGAGAGGACGTAGTCTCAAGCTGCAGCAGGGGATGCTCAGTTTGGACATCAAGAAGAATTTCTTCATCAGAAAGGTTGTTAAGCATTGAAACAGACTGCTCAGGGAGGTGATGGAGTCACCATCCTTGGAGGTGATCAAGAAACAACTGGACATGGCCCTTAATGCTGTATCTAGCTCACAATGTTGTGATTGATCAAGGGTTGGACTCAGTGATCTTTGAGGTCTTTTCCAACCTAAATGATTCTGTTATTACACATTGGCTTCCTCTGTGTGTTCTATTATTTTATTGTTTCCAAGTTCTATTCTGGGTTTCTAATATGTCCTGTATATCATAATACTTTCACTTCCTGCCATCTGTGGACATGCTTTGTCATTGTTAGCTACACTTGTGATCTTTTTATACCTCCTGGTAGTACCACGGAAGACTACATGTGATGTGTAGTTTACCACAAGAGGTGGTGATAGTGTCTAAGAAAATTTCCTGCATCATGGGAGTTGATTTGAACTTCTTATAGGCTCAAAAAATACATTCTATTCTCTTCCCTGGCCATTGGATGCTCCACACCTTGGACAATCCTGTTGTTTTAAAATCAACTTTTAGACTTCTTTTTGATAAAGTCAAGAGGACTTCTGGTATATGGAGGTTATTCGCTTCCCATGTACAATACAGGATGACTTAGCCACTTAACTGCCACTAAACCACTTCCTTTTAAGATGTTCACAGTGTGAGACTGATGTAAAATAATAACACACTGTGGTTTGCCTTAAGCAGTAGCTGTGTGAGATGAGAACATTCAGTATGTGCTGTACAGGTTGGCAAGACCTTAACCCAAAAGTGAAGAGGTTACTAATCAAGAGTCTGTTTGTATCATGGCTTTCCAAAGCCTAAAGAAAGGAGAGGCAACAGTCTTCTGTGTTGACATTAAAAGAGACAGAATTTGGGTTGCGATTGGAATTTGTAAAGATTTGTCACCATTTTTCCCCAAGATGACACTAAGGGCTTACCCTTCATGAACAAAATGTAGGAAATATTTAGAACCTGAAAGTGCCCCAGAGCCTTGCTTGGCTCAGATTTCAACTTCATTTTTCTCTGGTCCCATGAAATGGAAGTATATGGCTATTGTGAATCTTCAATCAAGGACTTTCTATTTGCTATATAAGCACTGAGAATATCTGTTTAGCTTCCCTTCCATGGCTATGTTTTCTAACATTTCAGATAATTAAATAGAATTTTCCCGCAAGTTCCTACCCCACTGTGTTAGCTGTTTCAGTGAGTATCTCATAGGCCACTCTGTAATGCACTGCTTTATTACTCATAGATGCCATGGCATTCTCGTGGGCT